TTCCTTCCTTCCTTCCTTCCTTCCTTCCTTCCTTCCTTCCTTCCTTCCTTCCTTCCTTCCTTCCTTTCTTAACCTTTTTGTATGGCAGTTGAACCACCTGTCACCTGTAACTTTCAAACTGTTTGTTGGAAACCTGAATTTCAACAAAACTGCTGCTGAACTAAAAACCGGTCTCAGTGAGTTTTTTGCTAAAAATGATCTCACAGTGGTTGATGTCAGAGTTGGCATGTCCAGGTAAATACTGATAGATGAAGAATGTTAAGTCGATCAGCCCAGCATTATTATCCTTGGAGAAGTTACAAGTTCCCGTATTTTTCTGTTTCATTGTGGGTCACCAGACTTCTGTCTCATTGGATCCTTCTGTTACCTGCTGTTCACCCTTTAGTGGGGTTTCACATCAGTCTCTGGCAGTTCAAAGTGAGTACAGTAGTCTCATATCCGCGGGCAAACATTCTAAGATCCCCAGTGGATGCCTGACACCACAGATAGTACTGAACCCTGTGTAGACTATGTTTTTTCTTTTACAACATACCTGTGATAAATTTGAATTTATAACTTAACCACGCTAAGAGATGAACAACAATACAACAAAATAGAACAATTGTAACAGTATACTATAATGAAAGTTACATGAATGTGGTTTGTCTCTCTCAAAATATTTTTACTCTGCTATGCACACCCTCTTTCTTGTGATGCTGTGAAATGACAAAATGCCTCCGTGATGAGATGGGGTGAGGTGCGTGGTATAGGCGTTGTGACCTCGCTTTAGAATGCTGTTGACATTTTGAAGCTAGGTCAGAAGGAGGATTGTCTGCTTCCAGACCACACAGTTGACTGTGGATAACTGCAACCACGGATAAGAGGGACTACTATATTTAAAATCTTTCAGTGGCTCTTAGAAAATCCATTGTATTGGGGCATCTGGGTGGCTCAGTCAGTTAAGCATCTGACTTGGATTCAGGTCAAGATCTCATGGTTCGTGAGTTCAGTTCCCATGTCGGGCTCTCTGCTGTTAGCACAGAGCCCGCTTCAGATCCTCTGTCCCCCTCTTTCTCTGCCCCTCCCCCACTCACATACATGCATTCTCTCTCTCATAAATATAAATTTAAAAAAATTTATTTTAAAAATCCATCATATTAAATTGCTATCCCATTTTTCCAATTGAAATGTTAAAATAATCCCGAGATTCTCCTTGTCTTTACAGAAACATATTTCCATGATTTTCTACAGTGAGTGATGTTATTTGCCCACGATTATTTTATTTTATTTTACTTTATTATTTCTTATATATATTTATTTTGAGAGAGCACAAGCAAGGGAGGGGCAGAGAGAGAGGGAGAAAGAGAGAATCCCAACAGGCTCCGCACGGTCAACTTGGAGCCCAAAGGGGGCTCAAACTCATGAACTGTGAGATCACGTCCTGAGCCAAAACCGAGTCCAGCACTTAATGGACTAGGCCACCCAAGCGCCCCTGCCCAGAATTATTTTAAACTAAGCTGCACATTTAATCGTAGCCCCCTCGCTTTGGTGCAAATATAGGTTCTGTATCACTTCTGCTTTTTTTGCCAAGTTGAATTTCATCTTTCTCACTTCTTTTTCATCAGAAGCGTATTTCCTGGGTGTGAGCATATTTTATAGTACTCAGACTGTCTTAGGTAAAAACAAACAAAAAATAATAATAGTAACAGGGGCACCTGGGTGGCTCAGTCGGTTGAGCGTCCGACTTTGGCTCAGGTCATGATCTTGCAGTTTGTGAGTTTGAGCCCCATGTCGGGCTCTGTGCTGACAGCTCAGAGCCTGGAGCCTGCTTCAGATTCTGTGTCTCCCTCTCTGCACCTTCCCCGCTTGCACTCTGTCTCTTTCTCTCTCAAAAATAAATAAACATTAAAAAAATAATAATAATAATAGTAAACATTCATTGAGCACTCACTGTTCCAGGCACTGTTCTTCGTTCCTTATTTCTATTAACTCATTGAACCTGTTAAGACAATCCTCAGTGGTAATTATTGCTGTTCTTCCCATTTCACAAAGAAAATTTAGGCACAGAGAAGTTAAGTAATGTGCCCAACATCACACAGTTAGAAAGTGGCAGAGCTCGGAGTTGAACCCAGCACTCTGGCTCCAGAGCCTACGCCACAACTTTTGTCACATCGCTCTTACGGTTTTTGTTAACTTTTTGTTTGTGATTTGCAATAAATAAGAACCCTTTTTGCATTAAAAAAAAAAATCTTTCTGTAATAGCCCTTGGGTTTGCTAATACATTCCTCATTAGGAGTGATATTTTTGTTCTAATTCACAAATGCACATGGATTTTTCTTAAAACAAAAATTCAAAACCTTACTTTTAAACTTCATTTTCTATAGGTTTTGGTTAAATTTGGTCAGTTGCTACACAGAAAACTAATAAAGATTTCAGCAGGTGAATTTGCACTGACTTCATCCCTTGATCCAGAACAGGCTTTCTCCATTTTGGCACTATTGACACTTTGGGCCGGATAATTTGTTGTGGGGGACTGTCCAGTTCGTTGCAGGCTCTGTAGCAGTGTGCCTGGATTCTCCCCACTGAGTAGTAGAAGCACTCCCCCAGTTGTGACAGCCAGAATGTCTCTAGACATTGTCAAACTTGCCCAAAGGTGAGAACCACTCCTTTGGTTACTTTATTGGCATTCTTATTGCTGGTTGGTGGAGCCTTAGTTTTAAATTGTAAATGACTCAGTGCTGATTTCCACTCTCACATCCAGTGTGACTAGCCAACCAGAAGTCATGTGCCTCTTGATCTTACTTAGTGTTTTTTTTCCCCTTTTACATCTCTGTAGGAAATTTGGTTATGTGAGTTTTAAATCTGCTAATGATCAGGGAAAAGCCTTGAAACTTAGTGAGACAAAGGTCCTTGGGAATGAAATTAAATTGAGAAAACCAAAAGGAAGGGAAGTAAAGAAAGGTATGTAAACAAGGTAATTTATTTATAGATAACTGTGGGGGCACCTGGGTGGCTCAGTCGGTTAAGCGTCCCACTTCGGCTCACGTCATGATCTCACGGTTCGTGAGTTTGAGCCCTGCATCGGGCTCCGTGCTGACAGCTCAGAACCTGGAGCCTGCTTTGGATTCTGTGTCTCCCTCTCTCTGCTCCTTCCCCACTCACACTCTGTCTCTCTCTCAAAAATAAGTAAACATTATAGATAACTGTGTATCTAGAAGACTCTGGGTCAGGAACTAGTAGTATCAGATTCTTTCTTATTGTGTACAAGTACTTAGTTACCACCAGGTCACCTGCTTCCACAGCACAAACTTTATCTGCATTGCTCTCACCCTGTGTGCTCTAGCTGCCTGGCTCACCTTCCCTGTCATAGCATCCTTTGTCTACAGTACTCCCTGTCATTATGTACCTTTCCTTCTCTGCCATAATGTTCTCTGCAGGACTCAGTCCCTGACCACCTGCAGCCCATCCATAGAATCTCAGTTTAAAGGTCACTTCCTCAGATCAGAAAAAATTTCCCTTCCAGACTAGATTAAGTCTTTTTTTTGGGGGGGGGGGGGTATGGGGGGTTTCGGTGCCTTCCCGGCCGTACGGGGGATTTCCTTTCCTTTCCTTTCCTTTCCTTTCCTTTCCTTTCCTTTCCTTTCCTTTCCTTTCCTTTCCTTTCCTTTCCTTTCCTTCATTCATTCATTCATTTAAGGTAATCTCTCCACTCAATGTGAGGCTTAAACTCACGACCCAGAGGTCAAGAGTTGCGTGCTTTTCTGATTGAGCCAGCCACGCGCCCCTGGGTTAAGTCTTTACTAGATGTTCTCATTTCCCTTTTACTTTTCCTTCTTAGCACTTATCAGAGTTTGTAATTATGTGACTGTATGTTTGCTAGCCTTTTCCTCCAAGGCCACATTCCCGAGAGTAGAAGCCTGTATTTTCATGTACCAGGTAGCATAGGCCCTCACCCAGATGTGTGTGCAAACATTTGTTAAATGAAGGAATATGTATTGCTATTAACACTCCCTAACTCTTGGAGAAGTATTTTGCCTCCCTTGTAGAACTTTTGATGCTTATTAGATCTGAACTCAGACTGAAAATATGCTTTTGTGTTACATAGCTCGAAATACCAAAACACTTTTGATCAAGGACCTGCCTGATAAAGTCATTCAGCGTGAGTTAAAAGAAGTGTTTAAGGATGCCTTTCAAATCAGATTGGTGAGCAAGGATGGGATGAATAAAAGGTGTGTTTTGTACCGGTGTTGAAAAACAATGTATTTCTACTGGGTTCAGACAACACAATTTCACTGCATTCTCCCAAGTCACTTAGGCCTGATTTTAGAAAACAAAAGAGTAGTTATCCAACCTTTCTACCAGTAGGCATAAAAAACTGAAGGGATGGGGCGCCTGGGTGGCGCAGTCGGTTGAGCGTCCGACTTCAGCCAGGTCACGATCTCGCGGTCCGTGAGTTCGAGCCCCGCATCAGGCTCTGGGCTGATGGCTCGGAGCCTGGGGCCTGTTTCCGATTCTGTGTCTCCCTCTCTCTCTGCCCCTCCCCCGTTCATGCTCTGTCTCTCTCTGTCCCAAAAATAAATAAAAAACGTTGGGAAAAAAAAAAAAAACCAAAAAACCTGAAGGGGGCAGGGGCGCCTGGGTGGCTCAGGTCATGATCTTGCGGTTTGTGAGTTCAAGCCTCGCATCAGGCTCTGCAGCACAGAGCCTAGAGCCTGCTTCAGATTCTGTGTCTCCCTCTCTCTCTCTCTCTCTCTGCCTCTCCCCTGCTTGCACTCTCTCTCTGTCTCCCTCTCTCAAAAATGAATAAACATTAAAAAAAATTTTTTTTAAGGAAAAAAGAATAAAAAAACTGAAGGGGGCATCATAAATGGACAGTCAGAAGTTTCTAGAAAACTGTAGTGGTGTCATTGAGAAATGAAGGCTTATTCTACCAAGTTTGAGACTGAAGATTGGAAGAATTCAGTCATAGATCATCTCCATTCTTCTCTCTCCAGGGCTGACTCCAGTAAAACAGCACACTTGGTGAATTGCCTGGACAGGTGGCCAAACAAGCATTGAATTGGCCCATTAGAACTATGTTGTAACAGGGGCGCCTGGGGGGCTCAGTTAAACATTCGACTTCAGCTCAGGTCATGATCTCACAGTTTGTGAGTTTGAGCCCCGCGTTAGCCTCTGTATTAATATAGCTCAGAGCTTGGAGCCTCCTTCAGATTCTGTGTCTCCCTAGCTTTCTGCCCCTCCCCTGCTCACATTCTGTCTCTCTCTCAAAAATAAATAAATATTAAAAAGACAACAACAACCTTAAAGCCATCATCGGTAAAAAAAAAAAAAAGGGGGGGGGCGCACCTGGGTGGCTCAGTTGGTTAAGCCTCCGACTTTGGCTCAGGACATGATCTCACTGTTCTTGAGTTCGAGCCCCACACTGGGCTCTGTGCTGACATCTCACAACCTGGAACCTGCTTCAGATTCTGTGTCTCTCTTTCTCTCTGCTCCTATCCTGCTTGTGCTGTCCCTTCCAAAATAAACATTTAAAAAAATTTTTTTAAAAAAAGAACTGTGTTGTAATCATTAATGAAACACTAGCACTACGTATCTAGGCTTTGGTAGAGTAAGAGGGTGAATGTGGTGAAATCAGAAAGGATGGAGTAGGATGTATTTTGAAAGGAATTCTCTTTGTTTTTTAAATTTTTAAATTTTTATTTTTTTTAATGTTTTTACTTATTTTTGAGACAGAGAAAGACAGAGCATGAGCAGAGGAGGGGCAGAGAGAGAGGAAGACACAGAATCCACAGCAGGCTCCAGGCTCTGAGCTGTCAGCACAGAGCCCGACACGGGGCTCGAACTCATGGACTGCGAGATCATGACTCGAGCTGAAGTCGGACGCTTAACCGACTGAGCCACCCAGGCTCCCCTGGAATTCTCTTTTTTAAAAATCTTTTTAATGTTTATTTTTGATAGAGAGACAGAGTATGAGTGGGGGAGGGGCAGAGAGAGAGGGAAACACAGAATCCGAAGCAGGCTCCAGGCTCTGAGCCGTCAGCGCAGAGTCCGATGTGGGGCTCAAACTCACAAACTATGAGATCATGACCTGAGTGGAAGTCAGACGCTTAACTGACTGCGCCACCCCGGCACCACCACCTCCTCCCCCTTTTTTTTAAAGTAAGCTCAAAACTGCCTCATGTAAGGCTTGAAGTTAGAACCCTAAGATCAAGACCTGAGCTGAGATCAAGAGTGAGATGCTTAACTGACTGAGCCACCCACACAACCCTCTTTTTTTTTTTTTTTAAGATTTTGATAATTTTTTTTAAGTTTTTTTATTTTGAAAGAAAAAGAATGAGTGGGGAAGCGGCAGAGAGAGAGGGAGAGAGAGGATCCCAAGCAGGCTTTATATCATCTGCACAGAGCCCTATGTGGGACTTGAACTCGTGAACCGTGAAATCATGACCTGAGGCAACATCACAAGTTGGACGCTTAATTGAGCCATCCAGGTGTCCATTAACATTTTATTAAAAAAAAATTTTAATGTTTATTTTTGAGGGAGGGAGACAGAACGTGAGTGGGGGAAGAGCAGAGAGAGAGGGAGACACAGAATCTGAAGCAGGCTCCAGGCTCCAAGCTGTCAGCACAGAGCCTGATGTGGGGCTTGAACCCATGAACCATGAGATCATGACCTGAGCCGAAGTTGGACGCTTAACCTACTGAGCCACCCAGGTACCCCTATTTTAAGGCAGCCCTTAAGATTTTATTTTTAAGTAATCTCTACCCACTGTGAGGCTCGAACTTACAACCCCTAGATCAAGAGTCCCATGCTCCACCAACTGAGCCACTCAGAGGCCCCTATTTTGGAGGAATTCTTAATGAGGTGCAGCTTGCATATCAGAGTTACAGATACATTTGAGTGAAAATTGTTGGAGTAGGTAAACTCTAAAATAGTCTATAGCAGTATATTCTGAATAACATCTCTAGAAAAGAATCCTACCGATTCAGAAAACAAGTCTGAAAGGATGAATCCCATATTGTTAGCAATTAGCTATTGTCAGTGTTTTCTGTGAGGAGATTTGGGGACTCTGCCATGCTCACAGTCAGAAACACTGGAAAACAACAACAAATTGCTGCCAAAAACCATAGAATTTCTCTAATGATATTTAAATAAGTTTTGATTACATATACTTAAGTCTTCAGAATCATTCCTTTACATGAAGAATTATTATAAAGGGGAGATAGCGGAAGCCAAGGAATCCATGGCCGTATTAAATAAAGCCTAATACCTATGTCAGAATCGAGTGTGGTACATTCTTCAAGAATATTCTTACTCAGCAGATCCTTTCTGCTTATCTTTCACCGAAGTAAGTTACAGGTTCATGAAGGTTTACGTTGAAAGTATGGAATCATAAAGTACTAGAGGAAGACATGGAGAATGTTTTTGTTTTGTTTGTTTTTAAAGATTTTATTTTTAAGTAATCTCTACATCCAATGGGGGGCTGGAACTCACAATCCCAAGATCAAGAGTCACATGCTCTTCCAACTGAACCAGCTGGACTCTGCTGTTTGTTTGTTTTTAATCTTCAGCAGGGGAAGACCCGTAGAGTGTGACACAAATCCTGGAAGTCCTAAAAGAATAGATAAGTTTGACTGCATAAATATAAAGTATTTCTATGTGGGGGGAAAAAAATCCCTTAAGCAAAGTCAAAAGACAAGTGACAAACCAGGAAAAAAAATTTGTAATTTCTATCAAAACTGAGGGCTAATAGGGGTGCCTGGGTGGCTCAGTCGATTAACCTTCCGACTTTGGCTCTTCGTCATGATCCCTCAGTCCATGAGTTCAAGCTCTGCGTCAGGCTCTTGCTGACAGCTCAGAGCCTGGAACCCGCTTTGGATTCTGTGTCTTCCTCTCTCTCTGCCCCTCCCCCACTCACACTGTGTCTTTCTCAAAAAAAATAAACATTAAAGAAATGAAAAAAAAAACAACCGAGGGCTAATTTTGTTGATAAAGTGCATCTTACAAATCAATGAGAAAAAGACCAACAATCCAGTAAAAATATTGGCAAAGTATGAACAGGTAGGTCACAGAAAAGGAATTTTTTTTATGTGTATCTTTTTCCTTTATTTTTAAATTTTATTTATTTTTATTAACTTGTTTTATTTTTTATTTTTTAAAATTTACATCCAAATTAGCATATAGTGCAACAATGACTTCAGAAGTAGATTCCTTAGTGCCCCTTACTCATTTAGCCCATCCCCCCTCCCACACCCTCTCCCTAACCCTCAGTTCTCTGTATTTAAGAGTCTCTTCTGGTTTGTCCCCCTCCCTGTTTTTATATTATTTTTGCTTCCCTTCCCTTATGTTCACCTGTTTTGTCTCTTAAAGTCCTCATGTGAGTGAAGTCATATGATTTTTGTCTTTCTCTGACTAATTTCACTTAGTGTAATACCCTCCAGTTCCATCCACATAGTTGCAAATGGCAAGATTTCATTCTTTTTGATTGCCGAGTAATACTCCATTGTGTATGTATGTGTGTGTGTGTGTGTGTGTGT